AGATAATGGACAATTCAATCTCATCCGTTAATTACAATTCATCCAAACCGTACACCTAATTTTGTCATCTATCTTTGTCAACAAACTTGGTACAAATAGATTAATTCTTTAGATTGCTAGCTATAAAACTAAACCTTTGTTTGATTATGGTTTTTTTTTTAATTATTTTTTCCTCAAACTTATTTACATCACACATTTTTAATAAAATAATCTTGTATGTGAACTTATAATTTTATTCTATATTTTAGTCACATATTTTTTTAAAAAAACTATTTTCCATGGAATCACATCTTGAAAAATTAAATTCAAACAAATGTTAATTTTACCTCTCAAGGAAGGACTACGAACTACGAAGCAAGTAGATAACAATCAAATGAAATTATTGAAAGGGAAAATTGCAGCAGCGGTCTTCACTTTTTTGTAAACTTTATTCTAATATTCACTATGTGCTACTCAAAATTTCAAACATTTCAAAAATATGCACATAAGGTTCAAATGGATGGAGATCATTAGTTAATCAGAAAAGTCAAAATTAATCAATTTTGACTAAATTAAAAAGNAAAAGTCAAAATTAATCAATTTTGACCAAATTAAAAAGGCAAAATGGACATTGTATTTCCCTTACATTAAATAAGTTCAAAAATTAAATTAAAAAACCAAAAAATAAAAATAAATTGAACCCCACCCCACCCCACCCCACCCAACCCAAACCTACCCAACCCAAACTTCATCTTCTTCTCATAGTCGTCGATACCACCACAGCCTCTACATCGGCAACTAATCAGCCACCAACCTGGACAGATTATTAGAACATTCAAAACAATTAAATCAAATGTGAAACCAACATATGAAGCCTTTTTACACAAATAAATGAGGAAATATGATTTTACCTTCCAAGTTTGGTGATGAAGAAGATAACTTATTCTTGTAGAAATCAATGCAACACAAGATAAAATTGGTGACAATAGACCCGCAATCTCTCTTCTTTACAATAAATTGTTTGCCATGTTTAGTGCAATTCTAAGGAAAAACTCTGTAGCCGACTTGTCCCAGATTTTAATTTTGTTCATGCATATTGTATTCGGGGAACAAGTGCATATTTTTGAAAGGTTTGGAATTGTGGTTGGCACAAAGTGAATGTTAGGATAAAATCTGCAAAAAAAGTGAAAGATTGGGGATCGCTGCTGCAATTTTCCCTTGTTGAAATGGCTTATACTGCTTTGAACCACACAGCTTTATTATTGTTTTGTTATACTAAAATGAACCACCATGAATTAAATAGATAACTGATATGGTCATTTTTTGATCAACTCCAAACAACAATGCTCAAGGTTATTTCCGATCATCTTGAGAGTTTTCTCAAGGTGTCATCGTTGGGCTTAATTGTCACACTTGACGATTCTACGTCATATCGAGTTTTTTACCTTTGCTCACTTCTCTATCTCAAAAAACATATTCTTGTAGGACTCTACTTTCATGTTCAAACTTACCCAACTCCAGTTAGATTGGATTCTAAATAACTTACAACTCTTGCTCATATTGAATTGCTCAAGTCTTTTGTATCTCTTAAACAGATAAGACTTCAAGTATCCTAATTCTATCTCGAGTATGCTACTTACCTCTATAAATAAAGGTTCTAATTCATTATTCATGTGTCGGAGATTTTGTTCGTAATCGCTCCCAAACATCATGCTCGATAATCAATAAATGACGATTTTTGATAACATCAATAACTATTAAGTTGTTTTATCTAAACATTATATATCTTAGAATAAAAGCTCATTCTTAATTAGCCAAAAAGCTTAAAATTACCTTCAAACAAAAGTTTTTGAAACCTTTTCGAGATTGGCTTTTATATGAATAGTAGAAATCCAGCATTCGCGCCAAATGACTAATGTCAAGAATCGAAGCATCCCAAGAAATATTATTTACAGACATTAGAAAGACAAATAACAATTATCTAATACTTATTCCAATAACATGAATCTTGTTGTTGTCGCAGGTGATTAGTGTTCTTAATTAAGTAATTAAGATTCACTTGTGTTTATGTCGGCTCGTAGGGCAACGAGCCGAGCAGGCTCGACTCGGCCCATTGCCATCACTATGCAATTCCAAGGAAAAACTCTGTAGCCGACTTGTCCCAGCTTTTAATTTTGTTCATGCATATCGTATTCGGGAACAAGTGTATATTTTTGAAAGATTTGGAACTGTGGTTGGCATAAAGTGAATGTTAGGATAAATACTACAAAAAAGTGAAAGATTAGGGATGGCAGCTGCAATTTTCCCTTGTTGAAATGGCTTATACTGCTTTGAACCACACAGCTTTATTATTTGAACCACTGTGAATTAAATAGATAACTATTAAGTTGTTTTATCTAAACATTATATATCTTAGAATAAAAACTCATTCTTAATTAGACAAAAAGCTTAAAAATACCTTCAAACAATAATTTTCTTGTTTTATATGAATAGTAGAAATCCAGCATTCGTGCCAAATGACTAATGTCGAGAATCGAAGCATCCCAAGAAATATTATTTACAGACATTAGAAAGACAAATAACAATTATCTAATACTTATTCCAATAACATGAATCTTGTTGTTGTCGCAGGTGATTAGTGTTCTTAATTAATTAATTAAGATTCACTTGTGTTTATGCTTTTGATTTGATAGTTTGATGCATTTGGGGGATCAAATTCAAAATTCTGGGAGAACATACCATTCTACATTTTTACTTTTTTATTTGTTCAAAAGCATCTTTAGCACAAAGAATTAAAAATTCAAAGGCAATATAAAGGACAAAGGCTTGA